CTCTTGACCTCGTGATCCACCCGCCTCGGCCTCCCAAAGTGCTGGGATTACAGTCTTGAGCCACCGCGCCCAGCAATTTTTGTATTTTTAGTAGAGACGGGGTTTCCACCATGTGGGCCAGGCTGGTCTCAAACTCTGACCTCATGTGATCTGCTTGCCTTGGCCTCCCAAAGGTCTTACTGAATTTTTAAGAAGCCAATAACATTTGAATTTTTCTTAACACTCTGCATTAACTCTGTCTTCTCACTCTGTTCTGCTCACTCTGTTCTTACAGGAGTTGGTGACTAAATATTCTCAACAGATGGTGAAAGGAATGCTCCAGTTACTTTCAAATTGTCCAGCAGAGACTGCACACCTCAGAAAGGAGCTTCTGATTGCTGCCAAACACATCCTCACCACTGAGCTGAGAAACCGTATGTTCAGCCTGTCTTGTCTTGAATGCGGGTGCCAGTCCTGTGGCCATCTTTGCAGACTCAGCTGACATTCCATAGTTGTACTGTGAGGTTTCCACATGTCCTTGCTAACTTCATTGCTGTCTTGGGTTCATTCTTTTCCCTCTTTTCTCTGCCTCCCTGTATTAGTCTGTTTTCGTGCTGTTGATAAAGACATACTGAGATTGGGCAGTTTCCCAAAAAAAAAAAAAAAAGAGGTTTCATGGACTCACAGTTCCACATGGCTAGGGAGGCCTCATGATCATAGTAGAAGGCAAGGAGGAGCAAGTCACATATTATGTGGATGGTGGCAGGCAAAGAGAGCTTGTGCAGGGAAACTCCCCCTTATAAAACCATCAGATCACTTTGGGAGGCCAATGTGGGCGGATCACAAGGTCAAGAGATCGAGACCATCCTGGCCAACATGGCAAAACCCCATCTCTACTAAAATACAAAAAATTAGCTGGGCATGGTGGTGCACGCCTGTAGTCCCAGCTACTCAGGACGCTGAGGCAGGAGAATTGCTTGAACCAAGGAGGCGGAGGTTGCGGTGAGCCAAGATCGCACCACTGCACTCCAGCCTGGCGCCTGGTAACAGAGCGAGACTCTGTCTCAAAAAAAAAAAACCCACAGACACAAAACCATTAGATCTCAGCTGGGCGCGGTTCTCCTGCTTCAGCCTTTCGGGTAACTGGGATTACAGGCACCTGCCACCATGCCCGTTTAATTTTTGTATTTTTAGTGAAGATGGGGTTTCGCCATGTTGGCCAGGCTGGTCTCAAACTCCTGACCTCAAGTTACTCGGCAGCCTCAGCCTCCCAGAGTGCTGAGATTATAAGTGTGAGCCACTGTGCCTGACCTCTTTCCAATACTCCTGCTGTGTGAGAAGGATTTTAGAGATGGGTTAGGGACCTTTGTAGCACGAGGATTCTCGTAGATCTGCTAACGGATTAAAAATCCTTCTCATGCTTACCAGGTCACTTCTGTCCCTTTACTGCACAAGCTGGCACCTTCTGAGGGGTTTTAATCAGTGTTCATGGCTGCTGCCAGAATTGCTGGCTTCCCAAGCTGCTGCTCTCCGGGGGTTGATCACATTAGACTTTGGGGTTCAGCTTTTAGTCTTCCTTTTTTTTTTTTTAAACTCCCTTTGCTAGTTGGCTTGATTTTTGGTTTTTTTTTTTAAACAAGAGATTATAGGACACTTTAGTTTGAAGCCCTTTAGTAGTTCCTGATACTTAAATATATGTTAGCATTACAAGTCAAAAAAGTTTTGGTGGAAAGAAACATTTCGAGAATTGTGTTAAATGTTAACTGTGTGTTACAGTCAAAACGTCCACTTTTACAAACATTTTCTCTTCACCTTTTTTGGCGCCTGCGGTGGGATCAAATCCTAGCCCATTTTCACTCATTCTGAAGAGCCAGTGGTTTGAGAAAACCTGCCAGTTTAACAAGTTACGCATTTTCCTAGAGATTCTGATTCTGGGTCATGGAGAGGATCTGGAAAGCAGTGGGCATACAATTCAGTCTCCCATCACTCCTCCCTCTGGGGGTGTTCCCACCTGCTCTAGCAAGCTCTCCACGTCACGGCCAAGCCCTTTGCACCCCTCTGTGCCTCCTTTGTTTTGGCCACCTCACTGCAGCTTCATGGACTGTTGCATCCTGTCACCTCAGAAGGGCCTGCCTGCTTGTCGCTGCTTCCGTGTGGCCGCTCCTCC